TTATTGGAAAATTTGTAAAATCATGAATGAAAACTAAGTAAATCGTAGTAAAATCACTGATGTTGGTACTGATGACTCGGATGTTGACAATGAAAATGTCTGTGGTGAAACTTGAGATATTGAGGATGTAGAGGCAGAAGAAGCAGAGGATTCTCCAGGCAATGATGAAGATGAGCTGAAATGAGCATTTAAACTCATATTATACTTATACTAGTGTGAGTCATATATTGAATCCTAAAACTATGTGTACATGTATCATAAATTCACAAATATCTGTTGCAGGCACACACTCACTCTTCCATCCCTCTGTCCTCCCCCAAACACAGACATACGTAAAACAACACAATTGATAAAATGGGCTACAACCCAAATACTTAAATTTTCTTTGTACACGTTAACATCCCCCCCCACACACACACACACGCGCGTGCGCGCGCGCGCACACACACTTTAGAGGGTCCCCACCGGGTCGGGAAATTGGGAAAAAGTCGGGAATTTTGTGATGGGTCGGTATGTCGGGAAAGGATTTTAAGGGCATTACGGCAAATTGCAAAGGCACCAAGGCCAATTTCCGTGGTCTATTTCAAGTCCTGCTGTTACGTTATCACAATGATTTCCAGTGTTATTTTTATTTTACCTGTTGTTCAGTTCAAATCAATCCGGCAGGTTCTCAGTGTTTGAAGTATTCTCCAATCTTTTCCCTTGCTGTAGAGCGTAGGTACAGCAAGGCAGAGCTGCTGGAGCTAAGTCGTTCCTCCCTGTCGAAACAGACTCCAGCGCTGTGGAATGTCTTGTCCAGGACCTGCGCAGATGTTTGTTTACCAGCAGACAAAGTAAGGGCCTCTGAATATCTCTGGTGTCATACCACAAATGCCACTCATTATTTTACATTAAAATCTAGGAAGCAGATATCGAAACAGTATACAGCTTTATTTGGAAAAGACCAGTTAGCTTTGAGGTTTTGAATTCTCACTGGATATTATTTTATTTAATATGTCTTCAGTTAGTCTTGATGTTAAAAAAACCCAATATTTCATAATTTTTGCACATGGCAGTTGCAGGCTACTGTAGCCTGTAAGAGATGTCAGGTTTGTATTTGTGTGGTGAGCTTCGAAAACCGTTCACACGGGTAAAAACATAAAAATTGAGATTATTGCAAATTATTAATCTAAAGCTTTTCCTGAGCATTTTCCTTTTTATTTGAATGTTATATCTATCAGTTACAGAGATGTGCCAGTTTTTATCGCGCAAGGTACGAAAACTCTGACCTTAGAAAAATGGAAAAAGCTTTGCTTCGCCAAAGGTTCAATGTTCTCTAGTTTTTACGAGACAGAAATGATTTGTTTTTTCCTCAGGTGATGGATTATTTTGACCCTGACTTCTTCGAGCACCACGACGGGGGACTGGTTGTTGACAGTAGCAAGTTTCGTAGGGAGAGATATGACTAATCAAGGAAGAGTTTCATGAACAGAGGAGTCATCCCATAAATGGCAGTATTATGACTGGACAAACAAATTTGTAATTCATGAGCCGTTTTATCATTTACAAACCCAAAAACCAGAGCAAAAACTTTGTCTTGACTTGTTCTGTATTTTGCTGAACACTGAATGCCTGTATACCAACACTTTTAACTGTAAAGTGATATTATGTCCTCTTGTCATTTGTTTTCTGCAGTCTGTTGTATTTTTTAACACTTGTTTCATTTGAAAAGAAAACCCCCTCTCTGAAGACTTTTCCATTGGTTTTTGGCGATCAGTAAAGCTGTACATAGTTTTAAAAAGTCAGTCAATTTTCTTTCATCAGTCCTGTAGACACATCAGACTGTACTGTCCCGTTCTTACTCTATGCATTCCTTTAACAATATTGCTTTAGTTTAGAGCTCTTTATTGTGCTAATGAGGGCTCTGGAAATGAAGCTGCTTTTGTACTGGCAGGGGGTGTGGTAGGCCAGTAACAAGCGATCTTAGATTGGACTCGGCTAATTTTGCAGTGTGTGTAATAAAATAAATGTTGAAGTGCTATATTTTCTGTACAATTTTTCCGAATTTTCCATAAGCCAAAGACACCCCCTTCCGTCTCCTTCCTTAAGCTCCTGACAAGCTGTTCAGGTAGATTCATGCCCATAATGCTTTTCACTCAGTTAACCGAGTTCATTTAGATCTTTGTACATAATGTCAGCGAGTTTGATGTTGTTCTGGTTAGACTGAGGCTTTCCTTTCATGTCAATCTACAGCCATCCCAGTGCACCACATAGTGTCAGGGTTGATGTATAGTATTCCCTCACCATATTGCTGTTCACACTTTGCCGGCTTAGTAAATCGCATTTTATCATGGGTGGGCCACAAGCTTGGCAGACTGTCCGGACACAATAAAAATCAGGCACAGCTTAATTTTTGTGTGTCTGGCTGCTGGATTGTCTGTTGGCTGTGGATGATAAAATTCTCATTCATAAACTTAGGAAAAACTGTCCTTTTGGAAAAATAAATGTCAATTCCGAACCTGCGGTTCGCAATTTAAAATGTCTCACAAATGACTTTTTTTTTACTTGCTGGAATTTTGAAGTTCACAAACATTTTTCTTTTTTTATGAAGACTATTTCATATAATATTTTGTTATCTCAAAGAGCACAGGCAACTGTCAGTTTTAACTGAATGTGTAATACCCCCTTTATTTGTTGGTCTCCATTGCTGGTTGCAGGTTTATTGTTGTCTGTACTACAGCCTTTACCAACACCTTTTCTTTCTTGTTGAGGGTAACACACACTAAAGGTGCGACCTTTCCAGCATTGCCACATCATGTGAGTGAGAATGTACAGTATTTTGATTTTGGTAAAATTATGAACAGATATGTACAAATGTTTTATTTTTAAATACCATTGGTCTGTCATATTCCTTGAGTAGAAAGTGTTTTTTATAAGAGCATTTGAGAAGCTTAAAAAAGTTCTTGGAGGGTTTATAAAGATGTAAAATAAGTATCAAATATATATTGTTTTGACCCCATGGATTTTCACTTTTTGTGGGAAATTATGGAATATATCCCCCACAATATTTGAGGGAATACTGTAGAACTTGTAGTATGGTCGCCTTCTTTCCAGTGTCTTTCCAGGGTCATGGGCTAGTCATGAGTCTCCTAAGTCACCCGTAAGCCATTGTTTGAATCTGAAAGCATGAAACTGTTTCTGTAGATAGTGTACAGTTTTAGATTGTCATTGTTTTCCTAATGCCCTTCAGTCTTTCTTGACCAAATATTGTCACTTGTCTATGCTTTAAAAAAAAAAAGATTTTGCCTTCTTTTCTGACACTACCTTTTCAGCTCTTTATTCAAAACCGAGAATCAAAGTCAGTGAAACAGAATATAAATGTTGCAGATTTTTTACATTCTGGATTTTTAAAAAAAAATGCCTCTTGTTTGAATGGTCCCTCTTGCTTGGTAAATCAATGTGTCGGTAGACAAATGCCCTATGCAATACCTTTTTGACTGAAACATATTTGTCTTTGTCAAGAATCTTTCCATAAATCTGTTCTCAGTCTTCTTTTTGTGGTGCTTATATCAGTACAAACTTCTGTAACATATTGTCTGTTGTCGGTGGTTGATGGGTGCTCTGGTGTGGTTTGCTCCTTCTTTCCTATCAAACATCTATCGTCCTGATCTCTCCTTCTTTTTTATGTTTGTTACTCTCTTGTAACACCTGTATTCTTCGGCACTTATATGACCTTTTTGTGTTGCAAGTGCTGTAAAACTCTTACTAAAAACCAAATATTGTCTGTTGCGAGAAAAATGGTTTACTCAGTTTGCCCTTTTGAAAGAATTTGGAGAAACCTGTTTTTTTTCAAATGATCGGGCGTCTGAGGCACACGACACCTACCATTTCTTTGAAAGTTCAAAATTAGGACTTTTAAAGTTGTTTGAGAGAATAAGAAATATCAATACTGTGGTTTTTTTTGCCTTTCATGTTAATACTGCTTCCATTTTTACTTATTAGAAGGTGTGTGAGAAAATAAGAAATACTTATACTTTTGTCTTAACCAGTTGCAAGTTTGAGAGAATAAAGAATAGCAATACTTTCATCAGTTCATGTTAAAAGTATCATAACATTTTCAAAACTGATTGCTGTGGTGGATGCTGGTCCGTATATAAGTTTGAAAAACTGTTGAAGTGGATGCTTTCTTGACTTGTTACTTTCAGGTGTGCTATATTCTTAAATTTTTTTACAGGTATCGTTTTAAAGAGAGCTGTAAAGTACATGTTGTTTATGGTGTCAAAGCTGTTTGGTGCTTATTCTTTTGTTTTGTCTATCAGATGTTGATGATCTGTACTTCTGAACCAGTGTCTATTGTGCAATTGTCTGGTTTTTTGCTTTTGCACGCAGGAGAAAAGAGTGGAATTCTCACCTGGGAAAGTTATTTTATTCTGTGTCCTGCTTAACCTCGGTATGTCTAATCATGACAGGCAGGGTCAAAGCAGCCAAATTGTCTGAATTGTGTTGATGGGGTTGGAGAACATATCAGAGGTTCCGATTTGCAAAATATTCGGATTTCTGAAATTGCATTTTGTCTGACTTTATACCATTCTTTCATTCATATTTTAATTTCCATGTGTGTGTCATATTGCTACGAATAATGTAAATTTTGAGTCCCTATGCGCGTTTCACGGGGTGTGTATGTGTGCGTGTGAAAACTAAGGATTTTTTTTCATATTTAGTTGTCACGCTCTATTTTCACTCACTGTTATCAATCTGTAAATCTGTTCGCATTAAGATTTACACTAGTGCTGTGCGATTTTGAGAAAACAAAAATTCATTGAAGCTGACTGAAGTGTCTTTAGGCCATTCCCAAAGGGGGGACATTACCATGTTCTGTTGCACAGTATAATTGTAATTGTATAATGGGCTGATTCATCAATGTCATGCTCATAACTGCCGGAATTGCAACAGGGAACTGCTGCTTTTTCTTTCCCCATCCTTAGTATCGTCATTTTTTCTCTACTCCTTTTGTTTGCTTGTCACTCTCTTGTGACCCACTATTTCCGGGGTGCCTTCATGAGGAGAAAAAAACATTCTCCGCGCTTTGAGGGTCAACTGCCCTTGTTTGAACCATAGTGACTAGTGAATATAAGGGATAGTCTCTAGAGGAATATTATATATCTTTTGTTGGCTCCTCTAATCACTCTGTCTCGTAACCATCAAATAAAGAGTATTTTTATTTCTCTATATTTATCTCAATGATTTTAGATGTAATGTGCTCCAATTTTACTATGAGGAAAGTAAGATGAAAATCCTTTATGTTTAAAAAAAAAAATCGCACGGCATTCGAATTGCTCTTCCATGCTTCGAATAGCTGTGAATAGTGCAAAAATCATGAATGTTGAATAGCAAAGTCGAATGGGCACAGCTCTAATCTACACTGTTGTCTTAGCAGTAAGTGTCTGTAGCCAATAATTTCCCCACCAGTCCTATAGTTTTTTTAAAAGGACCGAGATATGTAGTTATTTTTGCCGAGTCTTTGTTGTACCCAACACTTTCGATTTGAGTGCAAAGACTCATAGAAATAAAATTTGGAGTTAAACAAGTCTTCTTTAGGCGTAATATTTGTCTTCTTATCATCATTAGTAACCTTTCGTTTTCGAAAAAGAAAGAGATATGATGATGGTTGATGAGTATTTTTCATTTGTAAGCCATTTTCAAATGTTACTTGCATTCACATTGCCTATCAGAATTCCGAATTCTGGGTTCTGTGCTTGCCTCCGTATCTTCTTCTTGGTTTGGTTAAGTTTGATATTCACAGTTTCTCTTGGTGATAAGTTGTATTAGAAACCTGCCAGATTGCACATTCCGTGAACTCGGCCATTGTTTATCTATGTGTCCATTGCGTGTTGGCTGTCAGTGTGTTTTCGCTTTCAAATCTGCCAAAATATTTGTGCCACTTTCCTCCTTACCTTCATTCATTCATTTTATTCTATCTCTGGATTTTTGGTAAGGCTGGAAAATCTATGCGTTGATCAAAAAATTATATTGTCTGCTGCCAGTGGACCCTAATGGGTGCCTGTGCAGCCCCTAGACCTCAGCAGTAAATTTTCCTTACCTTTCTGTTTTATCTGCTGGAAGCACTGATATTACTTGTCTGCTCACTTGTGTTGTATAGTTGAACTGTTTGGTTCAAAGTAGTTTTTTCTGGAGAACAAGACTCTCCCGGGGCAGTGCCACTGACTGTAGTGTCTTTAGGCCATTCCCAAAGGGTGGACATTGCTCGTCGTTCGAGCACAGTAGAATTGTAAATGGGCTGATTCATGTCACGCTCATAACTGTGCCTGATCTACAACAGGGAACTCAACTGCTGCTTTTTCTTTCCTAATCCTTACTATTGTCATTTTCCTCTACTTCTTTTGTATGTTTGTCACTCTCTTGTGACCTATTTCCGGGGTGCCTTGATAGTCGAAGCAGACCTTGTGCTGTTAAAGCTAGAGAGGTGAGCTGAGTAAGTCTGATTCCCTGTAAAGACTTCTCTGTTGACACCCACCCCTCGGCTCCCATAAGACTTTATGCAATTTCGAGCGCCGTATAACCCTCTACTATAATAAATAATAGACTTCCATATATGTTTCTTTGAGTCATATTTAGGTCTTAATTTTAACGTTACCAGGTGGACCCGAGGGAAATGTTAGAGCGTGGCCTAGCTACCTTTCCTAACTTTCTGTTTACTGAGTGCAAGCCTCTGCATTGTTTTAAATCTAGCAGTGGAGACACAGGACCTCGGGCACATAAGTCCTGCAGATGTCAGGGTTGGCAAGCGCATATGTTGTGAAACATGTTTTGATTCTTTTTTATTTCGACTACTGTTAAGTTTGATGGTTGCCATCCTATTTACCGTTACGCGGTAAATTAAAATTGCTCATGCTTGTTGATATTTTTGGTTTCCAAGGTTGTGTTTTTAAAGTATTAATATTTTTTCCATTGATGATCTAAGAATGGCATTTCTAAACTCATACTGGCTCTGAACTTCAGTTTATGGGCGATTCCACAAAATCTTCCCGGCGATATTACCACCTAGTTTACACTTTATTTTTGCAATTTATGTTTAATGTGCTTGTGAGATTATCAGTTTTATTTTATGATATTGTCAATGTGTTGGCTGTCTTTGTCTTTTTTCAAGCAATTAGAATCTAGTGTCTATTAACTTCTGGATTTATTTTGAGTTCTTCCTGAAAATTGTTTGACTGTTTGAATATTATCGTGTCGGTGTGAAAAATCATGATAAATGTCACTACACACAGTTCTGTAAATCTTCTCTCTCAGGCTTGGCATTCTCTGTTATCTGGCCCACTTTAAAAGAGTTTGGTGATCCCCGGTGCAAGGGCTTTCCTTAAATGTAATAAACAAGTGAAACTGTGGTTTTTGACTCCTTTCTCCTCCTCCCCATTTTGGAGCTGAATGTTTATATTTGGATGGATCAACAAAATCCGACGTAAGTTGTTATAAAACCAAATGCTTTCATATCTATGTTGTCCATACTTTGTAATTTTGTTATTTAAAAAAAAACAACAATTATTCTTTGCAAATTGCTTTCTTCCTTTTGACTTTTTATGCAATGTTTATTATGGTGTTTTGAATTTTGCTGTGGTAATGCTTATTCTCACACATCTGGTTCGAGGGTGCTACTGGTAGGTCCTACTTCTCTTGGCTTGTTCCCTTCGCAATAAGACTTGTCATTGTGTTGATATATTTCTCTTTACTCAAACTCAAAATTTGATTGCTTTTACTTTCTTTCACTTATGTTGGTGAGTTTTTTGCTGTTCATTTGCATTTGGTTGACACATTTTGTACTGTACACCGGGATTCCTCTAGTTTGATTCCTGTATGGGGAAGCTACTTTATTGAGTATCTTGGTCTGTCTGCTGGAATGTTGTGTCCCGTTCAGCTTGTTGGCCCTGGCAGGCAGGGGTGGTGGCTTTCAACCAACTTATTCTGTTGAATGTTTGTTTCAGCTGTGCATAATTTGGGCTTTTTGCTTATTAAGGAACTGCTCCTGACCCGTTTAAAGTCGGTTTTTGGTCTTCTCTTAATCATTCATAAGTGAGAATATATTTGACAAATTTTCGTACCGCCCTGGCAGTGCCACTGACTGTAGTGTCTTTAGGCCATTCCCAAAGGGGGGACATTTCTCGTTCAAGCACAGTAGAATTGTTAAGGGGCTGATTCTTCATGTCACGCTCATAACTGTGCCTGATCTTCAACAGGGCTGCTTTTTCTTTCCAAATCCTTACTATCGTCATTTTTCCTCTATTTCTTTTGTATGTTTGTCACTCTCTTGTGAACTGCTGTTTCCGGGGTGCCTTGATAGTCGAAGCAAGACCGTGTGCTGTTGAAGTTAGAGAGGTGAGCAGAGAAAGT